GGGCGGGTGACCGGCGTCAAACAAGCTTATTCTTATCCCCCCCCCCTCCCCTCCCCCCCGCCCGTTGCAGGGCGGGTGACTGGATGTTATTCTTGTCCCCCCCCTCCCCTCCCCCCCCCTCCTCCTCACCCGTTGGGACTGGATGTGGTTGACTGGATGTGGTTGTGTTGACCGCCTCAAACAAGCTTATTCTTATCCCCCCCCCCCCTCCCCACCCCCCCACCCCCCCAGAAACGTGGGCACAAGTGACGGGGTACGTGGGCACAAGTGACGGGGTACGTGGGCACAAGTGACGGGGTACGTGGGCGCAAGTGACCCGAAACCGCGTGGGCACAAGTGACCGCGATCGCGTGGGCACAAGTGACGGGGCTGCCGCTGTCACAAGCATGATTGGTGGATCGGGTCCAGTGCACTTGAAGCAGGTACACGAAGATGATCAGTCTTCGCTTCCCTCTTGCGTCCACAGCTTCGTTGAGTGTGGTAGGATGCAAGAGCCACACTCCCCTGCTGCTCGTGTTGGCTCTTTCCTATTGCTCACACCTACCCTTTGATACTCGGGTTGCCCACACACAAGCACCCTTAATAGGGAAGATTTATTCGACCTGTTTTTCCTGCTGAAAGAGATTTAAGAACTTGAAAAGAGCAACCCAAAAGAAAAAGAACTATGCCTTTTGAGACTCAGTTTCCCCACACACATGCACCCTTAGAAGGGTCAAAGGTCCTGCGCCAGCCGCAGATCGGGATCAGACTTGCTTCCCATCATTCCATGTCGACCAGCCATTACCAGGTTGATAGCCAATGAGTCCCGAGCAGCGTTTTGTCGTAGTCCAGGTAGTCGAATTGAGCACCGAGCTTCGGTATGTGATTCAAGTATAAACAAAAAGAGAAGCTTGATTCTAGGTAACTTGATAAAATTCTTATTGTTGCTCACATCAAAGATCATGCTTGAACGTTAGCGAACTGCGACGTTGGTTGCTGCAATTCTAAGAAAAGAAGAAGAACTTCCTATTCGAGAATGTTGACCTGTTTCCTGATACAAAACCACTAAAGCTTCAGGTGAAGCTGCATGTCTGGATGCCCAAGGCTCAGGATTCACGAAAAGTCAAGCTTCAAGATAGGTCAAGATCACTCTCACTGCATATCAATGTTGCGATTCGGTTTGTGTGCGACGCCTATGTTGCGGAGTTTACTAACAAAAAGGAAAATTGCCAGATTCTCCCTTTGATTGCTTAGTGTAGGCCTTGTTCCGTCCGGGGCTCTCTTCAAGCCTCTCAGGGCAATGCCCCGAAGGACAAGTCAAAGGGATACGAGCTCTTACGTCCGGGGGGGATGGCGCCCAAGAGGGAAGGCCATGCCCCGATTCACACTTGATACCGAACAATGTCGGAAGAGTTGCGTGTCTGGTACGTACTCCGTCAAGGAGATCAAAAGATCAAAATGTTCAGTGAGGCTTTCAATAGGCTCATGTTATTTTATTGGGTATTGCGATCCAAGATGCGAGAAAGCCAAGGCACTTTGATCCCGAAAATCCAAGGCACATTAAATGGTTCAAGACTGAGCACGATTTGGAGTTGAGGGTAGATGATGTCACAAGCATGATTGGTGGATCGGGTCCAGTCCACTTGAAGCAGGTACACGAAGATGATCAGTCTTCGCTTCCCTCTTGCGTCCACAGCTTCGTTGAGTGTGGTAGGATGCAAGAGCCACGCTCCCCTGCTGCTCGTATTGGCTCTTTCCTATTGCTCACACCTACCCTTTGATACTCGGGTTGCCCACACACAAGCACCCTTAATAGGGAAGATTTATTCGACCTGTTTTTCCTGCTGAAAGAGATTTAAGAACTTGAAAAGAGCAACCCAAAAGAAAAAGAACTATGCCTTTTGAGACTCAGTTTCCCCACACACATGCACCCTTAGAAGGGTCAAAGGTCCTGCGCCAGCCGCAGATCGGGATCAGACTTGCTTCCCATCATTCCATGTCGACCAGCCATTACCAGGTTGATAGCCAATGAGTCCCGAGCAGCGTTTTGTCGTAGTCCAGGTAGTCGAATTGAGCACCGAGCTTCGGTATGTGATTCAAGTATAAACAAAAAGAGAAGCTTGATTCTAGGTAACTTGATAAAATTCTTATTGTTGCTCACATCAAAGATCATGCTTGAACGTTAGCGAACTGCGACGTTGGTTGCTGCAATTCTAAGAAAAGAAGAAGAACTTCCTATTCGAGAATGTTGACCTGTTTCCTGATACAAAACCACTAAAGCTTCAGGTGAAGCTGCATGTCTGGATGCCCAAGGCTCAGGATTCACGAAAAGTCAAGCTTCAAGATAGGTCAAGATCACTCTCACTGCATATCAATGTTGCGATTCGGTTTGTGTGCGACGCCTATGTTGCGGAGTTTACTAACAAAAAGGAAAATTGCCAGATTCTCCCTTTGATTGCTTAGTGTAGGCCTTGTTCCGTCCGGGGCTCTCTTCAAGCCTCTCAGGGCAATGCCCCGAAGG